TGTGTGTGTGTGTGTGTGTGTGTGTGTGTGTGTGTGTGTGTTGTGAAAGGTGAGATCAGAAAAGGGAAACATCTTGTCCAAAGTCACAGTGAGGGGCTCAGCAAGGTCTTGAACACAGGTCTTCTGTTAAGTCAAGTCTCTCCCTCTTTTTTCTCCTCCCTTCCTCTCTCTCTTTCTTTCCTTCTTTCTCTCTTTCTGTCTTCTCTCTCTCTCTCTCTCTCTCTCTCTCTCTCTCTCTCAATGACTTTGTTATCAGGTCACAGAAGCACCAAATGTTCCCAGCAAATGAGCACCATTTTAAACCCTTATAATTTATTTACTCTTATTTTTCCCATCAAAAAAAAAAAACTGCAGCCTATCAATTATACACAAAACAATGTCTGAGGCCAGTAGAGCATGTGTTGGCTAAGAGAGCATACTGACCTTGAGCCAGGTCACTTTAATAACAGAGATTATTCTATATTTGCAAATACCTGCCATTCCACATGCCCATATTCCAGATGGAAGATAGTAGGGAAACGAAGAGTTATCTTGGCCATATATTTCCAAACTCAAATTCAGTTTTTACATTCATCTTCTCCTTAAAACTCTGGTCTTCTGTGTCCTTTCTAGCTGCCAGGTCTCTTTCCATCATCTTGAGGCAGCTGGGTGGCCTAGTGGGTAGAGTACAGGGATTGAAGTCAGGAAGACACGAGTTCAAATCCAGCCTCAAATATTGGCTGTGTGACCTTGGGCAAGTCACTTATTCTCTTTCATCCTCAGTTTCCTCATTTGTAAAAGGGGGATAAAAACAGCATCAATTCTTCAGGGTTATCAAGGGGAACAAATGAGGTAATATTCATATAGTGCTTTACAAACGTCACATTAAGTGTTATATAAATGCCAGCTATTATTAGCAGCCTATGCTAGCATGGTGAGAGTCTAAGAGAAATTGAGATGAGAGGAGAGAAGGTGGTTTCAGGATGAAGAGCACCATGTTTTTAACCCCAGGGGCAGGAAGTCTTAGTTATCCACATTATGTCACACAATCCCAGAGCAAGAGTCTCTGGGGGAGATGAGGATTAGCTAATCTCTAAGAGATGACTGAAGGTCATCAGAGACAGCTGGGACACCCAATCTGAGAAGAGGGACACAGCTTTGGCAGCCAATTTGTCTATACTGGAGAGCTGTGTAAGTAATCAGGAATTCAATTTATTTCACCATAACCAACCTTTATTAAGCCCCTGATATGTATGCAGAGCAAAATGCTTGCTTTTGAGGAAGATTCAAAGTTTCAATAGCAGTCTGTCCTATCACTACAACCTAGAAGGGGAATAAGATTTAAATAGAGCTAACTACAATCCACAATATTATGTAATAAGTATGTTTTGTTGAGTTGAGTCATTTTTCAGTCACATCTGACTCTTCATGACCCCATTTGGGGTTGTTTTTTTTGTTTATTTGGTTGTTTTTTTTGTTTATTTGTTTTGGCAAGAATACTGGAATGGTTTGTCATTTCTTTCTCCATCTCATTTTACAGATGAGGAAACTGAGGCAAACAGGGTTAAGTGATTTGCCCAAGGTTAGTAAGTGTCTGAGGCCAGATTTGAACTCAGGAAGATGAGTCTTCCTGACTCCAGGCCCAGCTCCCTAACCACTGTACCACCTAGCTGCCCCAATAAGTATAATTAGCCAAGTATAAAACAAAGTTCAAAGTGAAATCTGAGCACAAGACTGTTCCTGGGGGAATGGGGTTAGAGTTAGAAATGGAGGGAGAATAAAGAAGGGGGGTGGGTAGAGAAGGGGATCAAGAATGCTCTTCTTGGAAGAGATAGCATTGGAGTTTAATTTTAAATGATGAATGAGTTCATTTAAAAGATTCAAGAAGTGAAAAAGAAAAGGGAAGCAACAAGGCATGAGAGGATAGGGGCTGTGAAACACAGAGTAGGTCAATTTAGTTAGATCTAGACTGTGTGGAAGGAAGATACGGCGGAAATGGTAGAAAGACTCCAGATTGTAGTGGCCCAGGAACAGTGGGTAAAGAAATTTGAATTTTACTCTGTAAGTAATAGGGAGCCAGGAAAGACTTTGGAGCAGGGGAGTGACATCACCAAATCCATATATAAGGAGAATTAATGCGGCAGATCACAAAGGATGGACTGAAGGGGGAGGAAATACGGTGGTTATAAACTGGGGCCTCCATCAGGTACAGCTGTTGTATTATTTCCTTGGCCTCCTTCCCAGCTGGTTGGGGAGCATGTGAACACAGCCCGGGCCATCTCCTCGGGGCTAGAGGCTACCACACTACAGATCTTGGAGCAGTCACTGAATGAATTCATCCCCAGGTCAGTCTTACATTTCCCCAAACACTGGGCCCCTTACTCCATAGAAGGCCGGGCCCAAGACTGCCTAAAGAGGGGATTCCTGCCTTTCCTTGGGAGGGGAATAGAAGGGAGTAGGTGGGGAAGAAGAAATATTACCAAGTACCCACTGATGCCTGGGGTCTCAAGGTCTCAGTTTTGCCATCCGTAACCCTGGGAATTGTTTGAGACTCGGACACGAATGCTTGAACCCAGGCTTCACAGTCAGAATTGCACCCTATCCCCTCACCCCCAAAGAGTCCTCCTTTTTCCTGGGATTAAGGGAAGGGACTAGGCCGGGGAAGCCCATAGTGGGATTGGCTGGGTGAAAGTCAGATGAATTTCTTCTTCTTCACCTGTTAAAGATTAAAATAGGTATTATAACCCATCACACTTGTATTTTCTTCAGTCCCTCAGGTGGAAAGCAACCTGGATTTAAAGTCTAAGGATCTGGGTTTGAATCTCACCTCTGCTACTCACCGCTTGTGTGATTTAGGGCAAAGGCCTTCTCTAGGCTTCAGTTTTCTCACCTATAAAATGAAGGCGTTGGACTACATATCAGCTCTAAGGTCCTTACTATCTTTAAATCGCATGAGCCATGGACCAACCCTGAGAGCAAAGGGATTATCATGTCTCCATTTTGAAGAGAAGGAGACTGAGGCCTAGAGAGGGGACAAAGCTCATTCAAGGTCACACAGAGAATTAGTGATGGAGCTGGGACCAGAACCTATGTTTTCTGTGTAATGGTATGTCTGTGAGGAATTCTTTGCTTGATGTGGAAAAGTTTACCTGCTGGACAGCTGCAGGAAGGGAAGGGTACAACCCACCCTCCCTCTTCTCTGTCCTCTACCTTTAGAAGGTGGAAATTGCCAGTCTGTTCCAGCCCATCCCCTCCTCCTCCCACCTGGTTACCATGTCTAGTTACCAGCGCCTACTCTTGCCAGCAGAAAGGAAATTCTTGAATATGTGTGCAGCAGAATAATGGCCAAAGTATCCCAGCCCCCTCCTCTTCCCCTTCCCACCCCCCCTCCAACCAGGCAGTTACTGCTATTGACTCCTATTTTGACTCCTATTTTGGCATAAGAGAAAAGAGAGACCAGTTCCATGTTTTTTTTTAAAATTCTGTTTTAAGAAGTATATAAAATACAAAAATCATTAAGATTCTCCCTCATTTAGCTCTACTGTCCCCAGCTGAGACAAGTCCAACAGAAAAGTGCCATTTTTTTTTTTTTAAAGATATTGTGATCTTGTTGTTTAGACATGTTTCAATCATGTCTGATTCTTTGTGACCCCATTTTGGGATTTTCTTGGCAAAGATACTGCAGTGGTTTGCCATTTCCTTCTCCAGCTCATTTTACAAATGAGGAAACTGAGGCAGAGTTAAACGACTTACCCAGGGTCATGCAGCTAGTAAGTGTCTGAGACCAGATTTGAACTCACAAAGATGTGTCCTTGGCTCCAGGTCCAACACTCTATCCACTGTACCTCCTAGCTGCCCTGATATTATAATTATGCTTTATTAAAAGAATACCTTCATTTGTGTATAAAGTTCAAATCTGGCACAGTCCTTTCATCTGCATACCTTGCCATCGTTACCCCTTTGACCTCCTTTATAATGAAGAGGCACATAAATCACTCGCTGCTTTATCTAAGCTGGGCATTTAGTTGTAATTAGAGAGAAATGTAAACAAATTTGAAAGAACAGAGATAAGCATTGGAACTGGTAACTCAGTCTACCTGGGAAGGGGAGAGGAAAGGAGCAGGGAGAAGGGGAGAAGCATCATCATCTCCATCTTTGTTTTTGGCACCCATAGACAATTACCATCTTTCTGCCTCATCTCAGCCCTGGGTGGCTATCTAAATGGTTTATGCCCCTACCCATGGTGGAAGGTAAGGAGGTGGGGGTATGGCTGTGGCAGCCTTTGCTCTCTCCTCGTCAATACCCCACCTACCCCTGTGTGAATTCTCTCCTCCACAGTGAGGGGACAGCAATGCTTTGCCTTTAAGGATCACACAGCCAATGAGAACTCTTTCTGTCACCTGGAACTGGTCTCCACTCCCCTGCTACACCTGATTGTTAGAGCAGTGATTACTACCCAGCCATTCAAACCATTCTGACACTTTCAGTATTATACCGATGTATTCTGGGGTATATTTTGGTTGTTTAAAAGAAAACTATTATATTTATTATTAATATTAAATAATGTTACATTTATTATTTTTGTTTTACCACAGCCCCTAGGCATTTATATCATATCATATATCATATCACATTATATTATATCATGAAAACACAGTGGGTTTGGAGTTAGAGGACCTGAGTTTGAATACTGGCTCTAACATTATCTGTATGACCTTGATCAAATCATTTCTCCTCCTCTCTGTCTGTTCCTCTTCTGACTCTAAATTTTGTGATTCTTTGACCCCTGCTTTGCACCAAGCAGCCACAGGATTTTTTTCCTCCTTCCCTCTCTCCCTGTGCAGGTTTGAGGAGAAGTTCCTGGATTCGGACACTGCAAAGGATCAGACCCTGTTCCTGCCCTACCTCTGTGCCTACATCACTGCCTTCCAGGAGCTGAAGTAGGCTTCAATGTCTGGGGAGGACAGGGGAAGGCACTCTCTAGGGTTGGGAGGAAGGGGTACAAGGAGGCTGTCAGGTCAGCATCTGGCCAAGGTCAAAATCCCTCCTAAGTCATCTTCCACTCGACAAAAGTTTACTAAGCAGCTCATGTGTTTAGAGCACTATCTTCAACAATGGAGGAGATAACCAAATTTAGCCATGCCATGGTCCCAGCCTTCGTTGAGCTTACAGTCTGACAGAAGGATAAGGACATAGCTATCTGAAATACTTAATAGTGCCTGTTATGTATTCTTGAGATGCAGAACAGGTCTCTGGGAGGCCTCAAGGATAAAGGGTATGGGGAAGGCTTCCTGAGGAGGGGGTGTTTGAATGGGGTTTTAAAGGAGGAATAGAAATTGTTGATTAGGAATTCAACAGACATAGAGAAAGGTGATAGGGCATTCCAAACATAGGAAACTGTATGAACAGAAGCTTGGAGGCAGAAGACTGCTGGACGTGTCTGGGGAATAGAAATTAGGTGTTTGTTTGGAGTGCAATGTAATAGAGGGAGGTAATAGGAGATAGAGTTGGAAAGGCAGGCTGGTGCCAGATGGTAGCAGGCCTCCAATATCTGGATGGAGAACCTATCCTGCCATTCAGTAGAGAGCCAACAAAGATTTTTGTTGTTGTTGTTGTTGTTGTTATTTAGCAGAAATGTGACTAGCTCTATGCAACAGGAAAGTTATTCTGACAGCAGTATGAAGGATGGATTTAAGAGTAGAGAGAATAGAGGATGGAGATTTGGCTTCATGCTCCAATAGCTCTTTTCTTCTCCCTCTCCTTCCTTCCTTTTTATCTATCCCTCATCAGTGTGATTCAGTGGAAAAGAATCTTTGATTCCATTTCCCCCAGCCTTGCCAATAATTCACTGGGTGACCTTGGATAAGGATCTTCACCTACGTGAACTTCATCTGTAAGAGGAAGCTAGTGTTTGTAGCACGCACCTTTCAGCATTCTGAGCAAAGAAACGGAAGCTACCATCATGGCTCTTTGAAGCAGGAGGCAGAAGAGCCAACCTGGGGCCTGGGTCAGCCCCGTCTCTATGGGAGCTCACAGGCAGGTGCTCCAGAGAGGGAGAAATAAGAAAGACCTGGTCAGGCCTGACCACAGTATCAGGTGTGGAGAATATTGGATTGACAGCTCAGCCACCCAATGACATGCATAGAATGCCAGATGAGTGGGTGGGCAGTTCCTCCCACCATTACCACAGAATTTCCCGAAAGGAGTTAGCCTTTGGAGCCCAGAATCATTCACCATCTTGAGATCATCAAAGATTGGCCTCCAGGCATTGCTGGAAAGCTTGCTCATTTTCTACCTTCATCCCTGTCTGAGGAATCCACCTCAAGAAAGGGGGCATGTTGTCTTAGAAAAGCACTTGATTTGAAGTCAGGAGATGTAAGTTCAAATCCTGGCTCTGCTATTTACGTCTGTAAAATGAGAGAGCATTGACCCAGATGATCTCTCCGGTGCTGTCTGGCTCATGTTCTGAAGTTGTAACACTTCAGAGCTTAAGTAGGAACAAGAATCACAGGATTTAGAGATAAAAGGGACCTGAGAGATCATCTAGGGCCAATGATCTCAACTTACAGATGAGGAAACTGAGGTCCAGAGAGGGCAACTCATGGAAAAAGCCAATTATCTAAGTCTTATGTTTCCAATTCCATGGTGAGGGAATGAAGGAGCCATGGGAGAAAGATGTCCTTTGTTTTCTTGGGAATCTTTTACCCTTTTGGTGATTACTATGCCAAGAGATCCCATTCCCTTGGCACTTTATAGTGCCATAAATATTCTCTCCACAATACCCCATGAAGGGAGACATGGAAGGATTTTTATCTCCCTTTTACAGATGAGGAAATTGAGACTCAGAGAGGGGAAATAACTCGCTCAGGGTCATAAAGTGAGTCAGGGGCAAAGGTGGAACTTGAACCCGGTCCCCTTCACTCCATATCTGATACTTTTTCCAGTTGGGTGAGGTTTAGAATTATACTCCCACCCCTCACTTGCCTACTAGCCTGTGAGCTTAAGGGACTAAATTTTATCCATCCCTCTACAGGATTTGAAGTCAGAAGACCTAGGTTTGAATACCAGTTCGGCAGTTAGTATTTAGTGGTGTAAGTCACTTCCTTTCACTGGAACTCAGTTTCCTGATCTGTAAAATGAAGTGGATGGGAAAGATGATGTCTAAAGGTCTTTATCCACTTTAGACCTTATAAGGACTCCTCCACTAACCCCACCTCCTATACAGATACCATCAGGGTCGTTGCTTTGGGATATCATATGTGTTACCCTTCCCTTCCCCCTCTCATAGACAGTCCTCTCCCCCTGCTCCCCCACACCCCCCCTTTCCCTTGCCTCCTGCCTCTTTCACAAAAAACCAGCTTCCTATAGTCCTCTAGTCTCTATTTCTAGACTTCCGGGGACCACTTTCCCCTACCTGTAATACTAGTCCAGGCCTCAAGGTGGCAGAAGGCCTCTGGGAATCACTAGTCTTAAAATACTAAGAATCAACAGACTTGAAGAGTCCCCAAACCTTCTATAGCCAGAAGTTCAAGGAGGTCCTGAAATTCCCATGTTCCTAGTTCTGGACAGTGGGAGATTATTGAAGGGGACCATTCCAGATCCTTCCCTCAGGAAGAGCACAATCTGGAGTAGACAAGAGAAACAGAGCCAGCCCCTGCCCTCAGAGAGCTTGTAGTCTAGCTAGAGAAAGGTGCATGAAAATGGGATAGGGCACAGTCAGTCAGGCCAGTGTGGGATACCATAAGGGGGGAGAGAAATTCAGAAAGGGGAAGAACCATTGTGCACTGGCATAATCAGAGCTGGCTTCCTGAAGGAGGTGGCATGAGCGGAACCTTAAGGGAGAGGCAGGTTTTTGGCAAGGGGATTACTGTTGCCTTGCCCAAGGAAGGAGAATGGCATTCTAGGTAAGAGGGACAGCTCAAAAACAAAGAAAGGTGGAAATGAGCCTAAGACATGTGTAGCATAATGAAGAAATAGGGCTTGATGAGACAAAGAGATGGGTGAGTAATATGAGATAAACCTGGAGAGGACGTAGAAGTCAGCCTATAGAGGGTTTAAATACCAGGCTAAGAGGTTTGTATTGCATGGAATAGGAGTAGAAATGGGGAGCCCCTGAAAGTTGTTGATCAGGGAACGCTATCAGACAACAAGCATTTATTATGCACCAAATAAGTGTCAGTCACTGGGTCACAAAAGCAAAACTGAGCCATTCCCTGCCCTCACAGAGGTGCCATTCTAATGGGAAGACAACATGCACAAAATATACCCACATATAACATATACACATAAAATAGATGTAACCTAGGAGTCAGGCCTGGACCATTTGCATAAAACTTTGCACTAGTGAGGAAAGTCTTATGGAAATGACCCAGGCTTGAGCTCTTGGTTACGGAGTACATGCAAAACAGACACATGGTCTTGCTCAGAGCTGGGCATTATGAATTTGATTTTGACAGTCTTTGGAAGGATGGATTGAAGAGGGGGAAACTGAAGGTAGTGGGGCGGGGGGCAACCTAGAAAGCTTTGACCAAATGAGGTAAAAAGATACTGAATGAGAGGGTTGGCAGTGTGAGCACAAAGATGGGAATAAATTTGGGAAATGGAGGTAATCAAACCAGTGCTTCATAGTGGATTGAATGCAGAGATGCAAACAATTCAGAAATGCTGTAGCGATCAAGAGGATAAGCAAAGCAGGGCCAAGCACTTTAGGTTAAGGCATTCATAGGCATAGGGTTTAAAAGTTACATTTTGCTGTTGTCAGTCATTTCACTCTTTGTGACCCCATTTGGGGTTTTCTTGGCAAGGATACTGGAGTGGTTTGCCATTACCTTCTCTAGTGGATTAAGGCAAACAGAGGTTAAGTGATTTGCCCAGAGTCATATAGCTAGTGGGTATCTGAGGCCAGATTTGAATTTATGTCTAAATACTTTGACCACATAATGAAAAGATGGGATTTATTGGAAAAGACCCTGATGTTGGGAAAGATTGAAAGCAAAAGGAAAAGAGGACTGCAGAGGATGAGCTGGATAGATAGCATTGGGGAAATGACAAACAAGCACTTGGACAGACTTCGAGAGATAGTAGAAACATGACTAATGTGGAAATAGGATTAATATGATTATACATGGACACCCTATATCAGATTGCTTGCTGTCTTAGGGAGGGAGGGTGGAGGGAAGGGGAAAAATTTAGAACTCAAAATCTTATAAAAATGAATGTTGAAAACTGTCTTTACACGTAATTGGAAAAAATACTATTAAGTGAAAAAAAAAGAGAGTGGAGGATAGAAGGGCCTGCTATGGTCCATGAAGAGTCAGACAGGCCTGAATGACTCCATGGCCCAGTACTGTATCTACTGAGCCCTAGTGACCTCAGAAATTTCATTACAAATCATCTATTTCCTCTTCTTACTCCACTTTTTTTTTTAACAGATAAGGAAATTGAGGCCCAGAGAAGCTAAGTAACCCTACCCAATGTCACATAAATTGTAACATAAATTTGAACTCAAGTCCATTGCTTTTATCTATTTATCTTTTATCTAAATCTATTGTTTTTTATTTATTGTGTTGTTGTTTCAGTCATGTCTGACTCTTTGTGGCCACATTTGGAGTTTTCTTGGTAAAGATACTGGAGTGGTTTGCTATTTCTTTCTCCAGCTCATTTTACAGATGAGGAACCGAAGGAAACAAGGTTAAGTGACTTGCCCAGGGTCACATAGCTAATAAGTGTCTCAGGTCCTACAGATTTCAGGCCTAGTGCTCAATCCACTGCATCATCTAGCTGCCTATCTACTATCTAAATCTATTGCTTTTTATACTACTCTATGTTGTCTCTAATAAAATACTGAAATTTCTATAGCCCTTTAAGAGAGACAGCATAGCCTTTATAAGATTTTTTAAAATAGGATTTAAAATTTATAAGATTTATAAAATATTTTCCTCAAAAAAAAAACAACTTAAAAACCTATGAGGCAGGTAGTCCATTTTACAGGTAAGGAAACTAAGGCTCAGTAAGTTAAATGACTTGCCCAAGGTCACATAACTCACAATATATTATATAGGACTAAGGATCTGAGAGCTGGAAGTGAAGAAATCTAGCCTGACCTCTCATTGTACAGGTGGAAACCTGAGGCCCAAAGCAAAGTGATTTGCCCGAAGGCACACAATTAATAAGTGGTGAAGGCTGGATTTGAACACCTATTCTCTGACATCAAATCTAGCACATGTGATACATGGAGGGGAAGTATTGCAAATGAGCTCCCGAATTGTGTCCCAAGCCTTGTAGGGCTCGACCAGGCCCTGGGCAGGGCCAGTTTGGCTGGGGCCATGGAGGCATGGAGCATGGTAGCTACCTAAGTAGCAAAACTAGGTGGTAGCTACCCAAATATAGAAGGGCACTAGTGAAGAGGACAGAGTCCTTAGAAGCTCTGTTCAGAGTGGAAAGAATGCTGAATTGTGAGTCAAGGGATATGAGTTCAAGTATTGTCTCTGTCACTCACTACTTGTGTGTGACCTTGGATCTCAGTTTCCTCATCTGCAAAATGAGGGGTTTGGATTAGGTGTCCTCAAAAGTCACCTTCCAGTACTAATTTTGTGATCTTATGGTCCCATGACCCATGAACACAGGGAGTCTCCAGGGAATGCATTTGTCCTACCAGTCTTTCTCAGTTTCTTTTGTTAGCACCCATTCCACATCCACTAATTTGGGATGTCCCCCAAGTATTTTTCCTGGACCTTCTTCTCCTTTCTTTCTATTCTTTCAGTCTTGGTCTCTCATCATTTTCCATGGGTTCAACTATTATCTCTGTAAAATGATTCCCAGATCTATATATCCAGCCTCGATCTCTCTCTCTTGAGTTCTGGTCCAACACCATGAACTACCTATTGGACGTTTTGAAGTGGATGTCTCCCAAGCATCTCAAACTCAACATATCCAAGAGAACTTTCCTTCATCTAGGACCCATGCCCGTCTGAAACATCACCATTACTTGTCAAGGTCATCTCTTAACTCCTCACTCTCCATCATCAGAATATCCAATCAGTTGCCTCATCAGAATACCTAATCAGTTGCCAAATTTTGTTTTTATTGTCACAACTTATCCTTCTCTCCAATCATACAGCCACCATCCTAGTACAGGCCCTCATCACCTCTCAAGCAGACTAAAGTACTAGCCTCCTAATTGATTTCCCTGCTTCAAGTTTCTTTTTCTTTTTCTTTTCTTTTCTTTCTTTTTGGAGGCAATTGGGGTTAAGTGACTTGCCCAGGGTCACACAGCTAGTAAGTGCCTGAAGTCAGATTTTAACTCAGGTCCTCCTGACTCAAGTCTCTTCTCCCTTTAATTCATCTTCTACACTACTGCCAAAATGATTTTCTCAAAGCTCAAGTCTAACTATATGACCACCTACTCAATAAATTCCAATGACTCCCTATTACTTCCAAAATAAAATATGGAATCCTGCTTGGCATTTAAAGTTCTTCACAACTTTCCAGTCTTACATATCCCACCCCTCCACTTACTCTAGTAGCCACCCTAGCCTGCTTGTCCTCATCTTCACCTCTCAAAACCGCTATCTTCCTTTTAAGACTCAGCTCAGTCTCCACCTTCTGCAGAAGGCATCTCCTGGTCTTCCTAGCTGCAGGTGCCTTCTGTGCCTAGGTTACCTTGAGTTCGTTTGTGTCTTACATATATCTCTATCTGTACACGTTGTCGTGTTTCTTGAATGCAGGGAGTGTTTTGTTTTGTCTTTTCATTGCTAGAACCTAGTCCAGTGGCTGGAGCATAGTAGGTACTCAGTAAATGCTTAATGGTTGACTGATTGATTGAACAAAGGAGTGAAGTTTCTCTGCCTCTCATTCCATTTTGTCCCATCTGATCCTACTCATATTTACTTTGTCAAGCTTGGCCAGTGATTCTCTGCATAACCTTGGGTCTAATTATCTCTCCCCTATAAACCTTATCTTCCTCTGTAAAAATGAGGAAGTTGGGTAAGACAGCTTCCAATCTCCGTTCCAGCTCTGAAATTCTATACTCTGTGGTGTGGTGCCCAGAACAACCACAGAGTAGGACATGCCAAACTTTCTTCCTCCTTCTCCTCCGCCAGCTACCAGCTGCCCTTTTGAGGTTTTTTCTTTCACATGCTTCCCAGGCACACCCCAAAACAAGCATTTACAGCTGAGCCAAGCCTACAATTCTGGGATTTTCCAGCCCCGCACCCTCCCTCATTGGCAGGCAACAGATGGACATGAAACTAGCATTGTTTTTCTCAAAGCAGGGAAAGATTAGGGAACCTTGGAGCCAATTTCTTGTCTGGAGATCCAGGGCCCTGTATTTGGGCAGGGGGAGGTAGTTCCCTGTCTGTGGTACTCTATTTCAGGGTCCAAGTAGTACCCACTGTGGCCATTACCTAGATACCCTTCCTTAATGCAGATCTTTTCATCCTCTCCCCATCAAAACTGACCCCAGGATTCACCTCCCATCCCCACAGGGTTCCATTCCCAGGCCTGTAAAGACAATTAGCAACGTTGCTTGGAGGCAGCCCAGTTAAGGCTGAGAGCCCAGGCCTTCAAAGCAGCAAACTTGGATTCTAGTTCTAACTTTGCCACTGACCCTGTTCTGCTTGTTTGTTTGTTTGTTTGTTTGTTTGTTGTTGTTGTTGTTGTTTTGCCGGTGACTCTCTTTGTAACATTGGATAAGTCAATTCTCTGGGCCTCGGTTTCCCTACCTGTAAAATAATAATAATTTTTTTTGTTTATAGAGGCTTAAAGCATTTCGTCTCAACAACCCTGTGAGATAAGCAACAAAAGTCATCTTAGACAAAATGGAGTTTCAAAGAAGGGGGCTCGACATGTCCAAGATCAAACAAGCTAATAAATAGAAGAGCCATGATTAGAAAATTACTGTGCATTCCACTGTACTCTTCTGCCTCCATGGGCTTTGACTAATTGAGAGAAGCAGTGTGGAGTAGTGAAACAAGTGCTGTCAGATTTGGAGTGAGAGAACTGGGGTTCATATCTCAGCTCTACCACTTACAATGGCCTGAGCAGTTATGGGGAGAAGATGGGAGGGAACTCATGTAAAATAAAGAAGTCTGACCAGCTGTCCTCTGAGATCCCTTTCAGCCCTCAGTCTAGAACACAGTAGCCTCGAAGGTCCTTTCCAGCTCTAATATTCTATGAGGCTCACTATGCTCTTGGACCATTGTTTCAAGAGGATAAAGGGTGGCAATTACAGACCTCAAAGTACAGAAGAGTATCTGATTAAGTGGATATGGAGGGATACGGCCTTCTCCTCTTCCCAGGCAACTTGTCTGGTGCTAGGAGGCTCACCTGCTCCTGGCTTTTTCTCTCCAGGACCAACCTACCGGCCAAATTCCTAAGCAGCTTTAAGAATGTGAGAACAACCTTGTCTGAGGTGATTTGCAGGTTCAAAAAGCAAATGTTGATCCATTTGCATCGAGAAACACAGGTAAGGTCTTTGGTTCTAAGTTCCTAGACTCATTATCTGCTCCAGGGGTATCAGATGGAAATGGAGGTCACCAAATCATACATAAGGATGATTGCAGGACACAGAGGTAGACCCAGCTATGGAATGAGCAGGGATGCATGGGACTGTTGACCAATCAGAATCTACATTGATCTTTGACAAAGGACAGGGTGGAGGACCTTGGCACGTGGCAGGGGTTTTCTGGGAAAGATGGAGAAGGATATGGGAAAGTTTTTCATTTTCCTCTCCTTAGGGAAAATGTCTATTTACAAAGAGCCCTTTTGTAAGAGAGACAAAAGGAGAAGTTGCCCAGGCCCCATGACAAGAGGTGGTATCCAAAAGGAGTCTCTATGGGAAAAGAGATAGTATGTGGATGTAGACAATGTGTAGGAGCAAGCAGTTTGTCAGAGGTGGCACTGAGATGGTGTACACTTGGGTCCACTATGTGAAGTGTGTCCACAAATCCTTATTATCTAAACTAAACTGGGCCCTCACTACTGCACAGCAATCCTTTTAACCATGTCTGAGTCTTTAATCACACTAGCCAGAAAAGCGACTTCCAAAACTTCTCTCTGTTCAGGACTCCAACTATATTCCCATGCCCTCTCCTCCAAACATATGACTTTGTCTGCTACCTGGCAGACAAGGTTGAGGTCATCCTTTGTGAGCCCTCTTCTCTCCCATTCTCCATTCTCCAAAACCTGCCTACATCTTCACTCACCCTCTTTCACTTCCCCAGAAGTCTCTGAGAATGGGGCAAATGTCTTTTCTTGCCAAAGCTAACTCCTTTTGCTATGCCTGTGACGATCAAAAAGTTCTGAGAGACATGGTTTCTGGGCGAAATGATCATCTTATTAATAAGATCAACATGTCTATTAGTAAAAGGATGGTCATTTGGCTCTTTTTCTTAGAACAAAGGCCCCTTATGGTAGTGGGTTCACAGTTTATATGCCCTTCAAAGAGTAGGTGTTCCTGAGGGGTGGCAATCAACTCTGATTGGTGAACAATTAATGAGAAAATGAATATTACAATGAGAGGCTGGGCTATATTACAATGAGGGTCTTGGGGTACATGACTTGGATTAACCAAGTCTTGGTCAGAGAGATGTATCAATTTTCATATCACCTGTCTGACAAAAGGGAGGATCCACATTTTCCCAGGCCCATCTGAGCAAACAAAATGATTAGGAATATGTTCATTAACCCAAACTTAGAATTTCTTTTACTGTCATATTAGATCTTGGCCTGGGTAAGTCTTTAACAGAGATATCTTTCTACACTGGTTGGTTCCTGGATGAGGAAGTAGAAAAGGGGAAAAAACCTTGGTTCTGATTGAATAATTAGTTACTAATAGCAGAGAGAAATAATTATTTCTCACATGCCTTTAATCTTATCTCCTCCTTTGGGAACTTCCTATATTCATCATTCTCTCTTTCTCCTCATCACTGGTTCCTTCCCTGTTATCTACAAAAATGCTCAAGTCTTACCCATCCTTAAAAACCCTTGACTTGACCCTGCCATCCTCACAAGCCTTTGTCCCATGTGTCTCCCCCCTCTCTCCTCTCTCTCTCTCTCTATCTGTCTCTGTCTCTGTCTTTGTCTCTCTCTCTCTCTCTGTCTCTTTTTCTCTGTCTCTCTCTGTCTCTCTCTCTCTGTCACTTGTCAATCTCATTAGCTTTTACAGGCTCAATTATAATTTCATGCAGATGAATCCCAGATCTATATATTCAGCACTAAACTTTCCCATGAGCTCTAGTCCCACATCTCTAACTGTCTGCTGGGCATCTCAACCTGGACTTTCTGTTGGTATCTCAAATTCAACCTGTCCAAAAATGAGATTATCATCTTCCCCCTCAAATCTCCTCCTATCTTCCTGTTGCAGACACTATTACCATCATGCAAATTAAGAGGGAAGTTGAATTCTAATGAATGGCATGAAGCTACACTAGGATGGGTTAGAATGGTTTATTGATACAGCCAAGCAAAGGCTATAAGAGGGTATGGACATATGAATAACAATGCATTCAGGGATAGAGTAACATGATGCCTGTCACCCCCACCTACAGGGCAGCATGCTTTGGTCGGTGGCCCAGATGAACAGTGAGATATGTCCTACACAGAAGGTTCAGAGCTGCATAAGGCCTAGGTTTACAAAAGGTTTTCAAACAAAAGGTCTGTCACGGAAGCTTTCATATCAGGGCCAAGGAACATGAACTAGCAACAGAAGGATGGAAAGTCCCTAAAATTTAATCGATTCGGAATGAAGAAGGTGGCATTATAACTATTTTGTGTCACCAAGCTTGCTAGAGACATTCAGCAACTGGTTCTAACTAGAACCGGGTACAATTTAAACCTGAAGCATTCCACACCCGGGAAATAGGAGACAGCCTTGGAGAAGGGGGCCATCGATTCCTCTGGCTCCTCAACTATTCTCCTGGTCAGTCAGGTTCAAAATTTCAGGTTCATCTTTGATTTTTCACTCCTCATGCCCATATCCAATCAGTTAGTTGCCAACTCTTTGCACAATTGTGTATTATATATGATTCATTATATATAAAGAATATATATTATGTTAATAATATATGTATACATTATATATTAACAATATTATATATAATATACATATATATTTCTGTGTATCATGTATGTGTATGTAATATATGTATATATAAAATACATAAAAGTGCATTGTATAGTATATGTAATATATAACACATAATATATACATTGGCTTACTAAAGGAGTACGTTGAGCAACACTTGCCACAATTCACTGCCAGCATAAAGCCTCCAACCCCACATGTATTAGAAGGGCAGAGAGCCTTGTAATCCTCATCAGCTTCATGGCACTTGAGCACAGCAAGCTTCACCTTCTTTCTCCGGTACTTATTCTTTGAGAAGTGGTGTAAAGTTTCTTTCTCTTCTTTGGCACTAACTGAAGTCTAAGAACAAGATGCGGGCGTGGACTCCTTCTGAATCACTGGAGTCAGATGACATTTGTCCAGTTTCCAGTTGCTTACTAGCAAAAATCAAACTTTGCAACCTGGCCTTGACATTGTCAATAGCATCAGAAAGTTCAGCCTTCCACTGGTCAAAAAGCCTTTGCAAAAATCTAGATTGTGGCTCTGGCCCTACCTGTGGGGAAGGTGAGGAAGAAAGAGGCAGATCCTGCATAGGGGAAGGTTGGAGGCTCAGCCATGGAGCCCAACACGGGAACACACTTCAAGGCACTCATTGTTTAATGTGGGGAATGACAAGTGTGCAAACAGTGATGAAAGAGATGGAAATAAGTGTAAATAAGTCTAAGGAGTCCATGGAGGGGGAGCTCACTCTCAGACAGGGGTCAAAATGGGGATGTCAGGGAGGTAAGGACATCTGAGGAAGGAAGAGGGTTTCAGCCAGCAGATACGTGCTGGAGTCTGTTCAGGAAATGAAGGCTTGGCCTCTGGGAATAAATACACTGAGGAAGGTGAAGATAGGGAAAGACTGAGGAGCAACAAGGAGCCTCATTTGTCTGGAACAGAGGCAGCAGTGCATGCTTTGCATAAATTCCATTTATATACATTATGGGGTATACATTGTGTGGCAAAGAAAGTCTAGACGTCAGGACAGGGAATCAGGATCTGATTGTCTATTTTTTTTTTACATATTTCTTATATGCAACAAATTGTTGAGGTTTGTTTTCTTACCTATTCAGTCATTGGGAATCAGGATCTAAGTGGGCTTCCTGTGGGAATTGAGGTGGCTTAGATCCTGAAAGCTAGGGAGGATTTGAATTGGGAGAGGTGGGGGGAGGCTACCTCTTCATGGTGTTGTGTCGGGTCCTAGAATGTGGGGGTGGGGTGGGGAGGGAGGGAAGAAGGTGTCACATTGTATTGGAAGAGTCAGGTCTAATGATCCTGTAGGCTGGGGAACAAGATGTGAGTGGGTTCTCTCTCTGCCCCCACAGGTCCTATTCAAGGATGTGGGCAGCAAGGCATGGGTGACTTCCGACAAGCTACAGCCAATCATGGAGAAGACTGTCACCTTTGCCCAGCACCTAAAACACCTGGTTCAGCCCCACAGTCAGGTGGTTCGAGGACCCCAGGGATCATCCTGGGGAGGGACATGGAGGGCATGGGGAAAGGGTGCTCAGAAAGAAAAGACTGAGGGGCAGCTAGGTGGCACAGTGGATAGATCACTGGCCCTGAAGTCAGGAGGACCTGAGTTCAAATCTGGCCTCCGACCAAACGCTTGACATGTATTAGCTGTGTGACCTTGGGCAAGTCACTTAACCCCAATTGCCTCACCCAAAAAAAAAAAAAAAAGAAAGAAAGAAAGAAAGAAAAGACTGAGAGACAGAAGGCTTGGAAGGGGGAAAAGAGTTATGGCGCTTTGAGGCTGATCTCCACTATCCTATTTCTCTCCCAGGAGTGTCTTCAGGAAATCCACTGCTATGTGATTCGGGAATATGTAGCCCATGTGCTGAGGCCACGAGAACGGCTTCGGGGAGCAGATCGAGTGGCCAGCGCCCAGAAGATGAGCCAGGAATCAGATGCCATTGGCTCCACCTTTCAAAGTCTGGTACTACCCAAGAGTTATTTCCTTCGGCTGCTGATGGGTTGTGGTTGGTACTGTGGTCAGAATTTGTTGTTGTTTGGTCATTTTCAGTCATGTCTGATCCTTTGTGACCCCATCTGGGGTTTTCTTGGCAAAGATACTGGTGTAGTTTGCCATTTCCTTCTCCAGTGGATCCATCTTGTCAGGCAATCAGAGGTTAAATGACTTCCCCAGGGTCACACAACTGTGTTTGAGGCTGAGTTCCTACTTATTTCCTGTGTAGCCTTGGACAAATCATTTGTCCTCTCAAGGCCTTGGTTTTCTCCTCTATGAGACGATCTCTGAGGTTCCTCTAAGTTCTAATACTCTACTGTGTATTGTGTTCTGTGTCCGAAGGACAGAGTTCCAGCTTTGATATTCTACATTCTAAGCCACCCCCCAGCCCAGCTCTGAAATGTTATGTTCTCTTTTGTAACCCCTCCAGCTCTAAATCTTATGATTCTAATAATTCTTCCCCCTGCCCCCATTCCCCTGCAGGTCCAGACATAACACAGCAAAATGGAAGGAACCCCCCAGGTGGAGTAGGGACAGCTTAGTGCCTTTCTCATACACAGGGATTGTACCTTTATGGGGTATCAGAGGTGGAAGAAATTTTAGTATCAATAGAACACAAAATATTACAGCTGGAAGGTAGCTAGGTGGCGCAGTGGATAGAGCACCAGCCCTAGAGTCAGGAGGACCTGAGTTCAAATCTGGCCTCAGACACATAACACTCACTAGCTGTGTGACTCTGGGCAAGTCACTTAACCCCAATTGCCTCACCAAAAAAAAAAAAAATAAATAAATCAATAAATAAATAGATAAATGAATAAGTAAATATTACACCTGGAAAGGATTGTAGAACACAGAACTTAAGAGGGGGAAGCATAGAACATAGACAATCAGAGCTAGAAGGGACCTCAGAATCTTAGAATATGGGGAAGGGACCTTAAAATATAGAACACGGACTGTGTCAGGCAGGTTTCATCTCAATAAATCTGATGAGTGGGGAACTTTAGGTTATTTAATACAACCCCATCATTCCACAGAGGAGGATACAGAGGATCCTCCTCATGTTCATTTGGTCGTTTTAGTCATGTCCAACCCTTTGTGACCCCATTTGGGCTTTTCTTGGCAGAGATACTGGAGCAGTTTGCCATTTCCTTCTCCAGCTCATTTGACAGATGGCAAACAGGGTTGTGACTTGCCCAGGGTCATACAGCTGGTAAGTGTCTGAGGTCAGATTTGAACTCAGGAAGATGAGTCTTCCTGACTCCAAGCCCATTGTGCTACCTAGCTGCCCAATCTTCTTCATGCTCATTCCTTTTTCTTATATCTGGTTCCTTGTCTTCCCAGGGCTCAGAAGCCTCTTGGCTGGGTTTGGTGATCCCCTGCATCTCAGACATCCTGGGTGAGACCTACAAAGAGGACATTAGAAAACATATCGAAACCCTCATTGAGGGTTACCCGGACATCAGGTTAGTGCTGCCTGCATCTGGAGGTTCCCCCTAGGAGCATCCCCAGACATTGAGACCCCTGAGCTGGCATGCCTCCGGACGTGAAGTTTTTTCACCCCTGCAGGCAGAGCCCCCTGCATCTCAGCACTCTTTACCATCCAGTGCTTCCTCGATCCTTACACCAGTCCTGCCTGGGCAAGGCAGAGATATTTATCCTTTTTTCCAGTCAAGGGAAGTGAGGTCCAGAAAAGGGAAGTTGGTGGCAGATCTAAAAGCAGCATTGAATAAGGGAAGGAACCCTGAATTTGGAGTCAGAAGATCTAGGTTTGAATTCTGGATTTGTAACTTAGTAGTTGTGTGACTTTGGACAAGTTCCTTTCCATCTCTGGGCCTCAGCCTCCTCATCTGTGAATTAAAAAGACTGATCTCCAAAGTCACCTCTAGCTCAAAGTCCCATCATGTTGTTATCTTCTAAATCAGGGCTCCCGACTTCCACCCCAGGATCTTCCCTTTGCCCTGGGCAGCCTCACATTCAGGGAGACCTCGGAGCATAGTAGGTTAATAAAATCAGAACAGGACCATGGTAGCTGAAATCTAGTGTGCCTCCCCTTGAACTTTAGAGGTTCATTATCAGGGAGTGATCAAGTCCCAGCGTGGCCAGGCCTTTCCCTGGAGAGACATACATCTCACAGATTGGCACCTCTTTGTTCTAAGGAGGGAGGCAACTTCTGGCCTACAAACAGGGTGGAACCTCTCCTCATCTCCAGAAAAAAAAAGAAAAGAAAAAAAAAGTCCCACTCCACATTTCACTTGAACAATCCCCAAACACGAAGGCACGTTATCTCTCTCAGGAAGTCCTTCTTGTCCTCCTTCCCATGGGTCTTCTGTCTCCTGACAGCCCCCTAGTCTGAAGGGAGTGCCATGGTCCTAGCTTTAGGCAGCCCGTGGTCTTGGGAGAACAGAAATGAAGAAATGAAGGCCTTGCCTTCAGGGAGTACCCAGTCTGAGGGGGATTCGCAGCCTCTGATCAAAGGGAGGAAAGCGGCTCCGCCCTTAGAAACAATGAAACCTCTCAATCTACTATACTCAAGTACAGAATGTTAGAATTGTAAGAAATCTCAGCAATCATCTGTAGGCCTTCCCTCTCATTTTATAGATGGAGAGACTGAAGCCTAGACGGGGGGACTTGCCCATGGTCACCTAGCTGTATGACCCTGAACAAGGCACTTAATCACTGTCTGCCTCAGTTTCCTCATTTATAAAATGGGCATAGTAATAGCACCTAATTCCCAGGGTAGTTGTAAGGATAAAATGAGATAATATTTATAAAACACTGTGCAAACTTCAGAAAGTGGTATATACACAGTAGTTATTGTTGTTGCTGCTGTTGTTGTCGTTGTTAGCGTGGCAGGACCTGGAACCTGGCTCTTCTGATGACATATCCAGGACTCTTGTCACTATGTTGTGCTTCCTCTTCTATATCCCTCATTCCTTTGCTTATGGGTTGGACACTGCTCCATCCAGAGAGGCAAAGTCAACAGAAGGTCCCACTTTGGGCAAGTCATGCTTTCTCTCTTAGTCTCAGTTTCCCTCTCTGAAAAATCGGGGTGTGGGTGTTGACTGGATTGACTTGAAGCTCTCTTTCAACTTTGATATGCTATGAATATAAGATTTCCACAGGACTTTGAGGGTGGTTCAGGGCATTGGACCTGTTGCTATTCTGTGAGGATGAAGTCAGGAAACTCAGTTCAATCTTCCTCAAACCTCCTCTCTCTACCACTACAGAGGTATGATTCTGGCCTGAATGCCCAACGGGATATCTTTACGCTTAACAGAACCCCAGAGCTGGGAAGGACCTCTGAGTAAATGCGTCTAGTTCAGTCTCTACAACCCCAGCCTCACCTCCACAGAAATCCCTTAGATAGCCTTCTTGATTGGGAGTCATCAAGCCTCAGCTACCATGTCTCCAGTAACAGGGAGCTCACTCTCTACCAAGGTAGCGTGTCAAATGAGACACTATTTGTAACTAAGTCAAGCACTTAACCAATACTTAAATAATTATTCTATCCCTCCATGCCTTCCTTCTCTAGGGAGGAGTCCCTCAGGAGCTCCCTCTACCATTGCAGATCTGCAGCTTACCGTCTCAGAGCATTGGCTGGTTAAGGAACCTGTGCAACATCATAGAGCCAGGATGCATTAAAAGCAGGACTTGAGCCAGCTCATCCTAACTGGGAGGCAGGCTGTCTATCCAAGAAGCCACACTGCTTCTCCTACAATGCAGGCTGAAACTGTAGCTCTTCAGACCACTATGCCCCACTGTTGACTCATATTTAGTGTGCAGGCCACTCAAACCACACATGCTTTTCCCATGACCGGTTGTCTGGCCACACCTTCTCCCTCCTGTATTTGTGCAGTGGATTCTTTGAAAGCCAGGAGAAGACTTTGCATTATCTCAGTGAGGCTACATCTTATTAGATTTGCCCCTCATTCTTACCTGTGAAGGTATTTTTGCATCTTGACTTGAATCTGAGAGTTTGTTAGCCCTCCTAGGGAAGCAGCTAGGTGACATGGTAGGTAGAGGACTGAGCCTGAACTCATGAACACCTGAGTTAAAATATGGCCTCGGATACTTGCTAGCTATGGGACCCTGGGCAGGTTACTTAACCTCTGTTTGCCTCAATTTCCTCAGGGAAATGGGGATAATAATAGTACCTACTTTTCAGGGTTGTTGTGAGCATTAAATGTCATAATATTTGTAAAATATCTAGCATGGTGTCAGGCATATTTCAGTTCTTTTTCAGTCATGTCTGAATCTTCATGATCCCATTTAGAGTTTTTTTGACAAAGAAAGGTACTGAAGTGGTTTGCTATTTCCTTCTCCAGCTCATTTGACTGATGAGGAACTGAGGCAAACAGAGTTAAGTGACTTGCCCAGAGTTACACAGCTAGTAAGTATCTTAGGTCAAATATGAACTTCAAGAAAATGAGTGTTCCTAATTTTAGTCCCAGCCCTCTATCCACTGTACCACCTAGCTGCCCATCAGGCACATAGTAGGCATTTAATAAATGCCTTCCTCCTAGCCTTGTGTCATTTGTAAACTTGATTATCAGGTGATATATGCTTTGGTTTATGTTAAAACTTTCACTGTTACTGTTGGGCAACAAAGACTATATCTGTCAAAATCTTCTACTTGCTTCTCTTTCCATCTTAGTCATTAAATAGACATTAAGCCCCTATTATGTGCCAGGCACCAGAGATACAAAGAAAGACAAAAGACAGTCCCTGCTCTCAAGGAGCTCCCAGTTTAATGGGGAAGACAACAAGTAAACAACTATGTCCAAACAAGTATACAGAATAAATTAGAAATACTCAATTCAGTTCAATAGTTACTAAACTCCTACTCTGTGCCAGGGCACTGTGCTAAGTACTGGGGATACAAATAAGAAAAAGAAAGTCCTTGCCCTCAAAGAGTTTATAGTCTAATGAGAGAAGACAAGAAGAAGCTGGAAATCTGGATAGAGGGGATCTAATCTTAGAGGGAAGGCATTATCATTAAGGGAGATCAGTAAAATGAAGGACTAGAAGATATGAAAGGTTCTTTCCAGCTCAAAATCCCATGATCCCATGACATACTTCTGTTCACTGGGACTGTGTCCCTCTGCAGGCAGGAGCATGTGGCTGCCATTTTAGCCCTTAGGAAGCTGGGCCGAAGACGAAACCAGCTCCTCCTTCGCCATGCCCAGGCCTTGCTGAAGAAGGCACCCAAGACTTTCCCAGGCCGGGGACTCTTTGAGGAGATTGATGTACCTGCATCTGTGGAAGTGCTCCTCACCTGCATTTAGAAATCAGCATGGATGAAAGGAAAAGCAGGGCCTGTGGGGTCCCTCTCTCAGGGTTCTTAAAGGTGAAAGGATGAGAGATCCCCTTGGAGTGGATTCTTCATGGAGCTGAGGACCCCAAGGACTGGGAAAAGGGACAGAGGGATGCCAGAAAGCACAGATGTCCCTCCCCCCGGCCCCCCCAAGAATATGGGAAAGCTGTTAGTTCAGCAGCCCTGGCCCCCCCTTCTTGACTTTCCTTCTCTCTCCATTCCAATGTCCCCCTCTACTTCCCCCAGATAGGATACCCAACTGGTCACCAGATTCCTCTGTCCTGCTCCTAAGCTCCTGGTTCTGCCTATTTCTAAGAAATTAGGAGATAAACATATTTCCTCTCAAGTGGGAAAGACTGTGTATGCTTCTTTTCCAAAAAAGGAGCTCATTCCTTTAAACAGGAGCCAGGGGAGAGCGATGCTGAGCCCAGACATGAGAAACACAAATAGTGGAATTCTAAGAAGACAAAATACAATAGCACAAACATTTTTTCAAGTGCCCTCTATATAGAGGAAGAACAGAGACCCCAGGAGATAGAAAGTTTAGATAAGACCATGTCCTCACCCTTGTGGTACACAATCTAGTACTGAATTAGAAATAGACACAGATAACTATATAGGTAATTAATTCAATATTCATTAAACCATGCTGTGAACTATCTTGAGCACTGGGGGAGATAAAAAGTTTAGCTAAGATGAGGTCCTTGACTTTATGAAGCTCATATTCTAGCAAGGGGGTGAGATGCCATAAGAAGCTACGATATCCAATATTACCTGAGTAATATTGTTATGTATTATGTGCGGTCCAATACGGTAAGTTCAGTCCTGACCAGGGTGAAACCAGGGACCTGGGTTGAGACCAGGGGATTCCTTCCCCTGAATGTAAACACAGCTCTGACAGGGAGGACTGGAAAGAGGACCCCAGTTCTAGGACGCCCGTAGGTCCAACCAGTCATGCCCAAAACTCCTGGGGCTCAGCAATTTGGGGGGTAGATATGATATGAATGTCCGAATCATCCATCCCCTCTAGGAAGCACAGAACTCTTCCCAGTTATGACATAGAGACCAACTCCATGGGGAGCCCACTTTCACATGCTAAATGTTCTGTATTTATTTTTAAAAATAAAATCGTATTAGATGAGAATTATTTGAAAAAACTGGTGACTGGAGAGACAGAATGGTGATGAGAGCCTGCTGTGGAGTTAGGAAAGACCTGGGTTCAAGTTCTGCCTCTAACACTATTCCCTCAAGCATCTTCCCTACTCTGGCATACAGAGACGGTTGCAATGCCCTCAATTTCCCTATCATCTATGAATGTTAAACCTCCGCGGTTCAGAACTTTAATATTCCTCTCTTAGTCTATTACCTCTTATCCTTCCATCTCAATCTCTATCTCACTTCTCCTAAACCTATTCTTCTTCCTAATCCTGATCTCTAGGCATACCCCCTAACCTCACCCACTTTCCTAGCCTATCACTCCTCTTCTGGCATAACATTCCTTCCTTCAAAATCTTGACCCTATAATAGTCAACAAGTTCAATTACACACTAGGAAAGTCTACCCTTGACTCCCTTGCCCCCTTCTCCCATCTTTGCTGGTGCCTTTCTAAAGCCCACTCTGGGTTATCCCCACCATCTTGCCTTCTCTAAAGCACTGCTGGAAAAAGTTACATGATATTGCTGAATCCACTACAAATGAATACCTGCTGATCCATCTTGATAGGGCTCTTAACCACTACATGGCAATGCTTTCACTCTTCCCTGATTGACTCTCTGTTGAATCCCTCACAGAAGCTGTGACTCTCTCCTTAAGCCAGCTCCACCTCTATCCCCATCTAACTCATATTCTACAGAGGAAATAGAGGTAATCCATCTCGAGCTCCTATTTCTCTCAATTCTATTCTTCAAATCCTCTTTTTCTTCTCTTTCGTTTCCATCTCTGAGGAAGACGTTAACTTTTTCCTTGCCAAGCCCAACTCTCCTAGTTGTGGTCATCCCCCCACCCCCACCTCCACGTCTCCTCCGGTATTTGCCCCATCCCCTTTTCTCTTTCTCTAATTTTCAATCTCCTTCTCTGCTGCCTAACACATCCCCAGATTGCTTCCATTCTTTAGACACCCACATCTGAATCTCTTACCCTCAAACTATCATTTTATATCCCCTCCTCCTTCCCCTCCCACCCTATTCACAAACACCTGGAAAACCCATCTATGCTCTGCCTCACCTTTCTCATTTCTTCCTTGGCAATTGGGTTTCTAACGTCCCATTTAAATAAAACTTCTCTCTCCATAGTCACTAAAGATCTCTTAATTGTTCTTTATAATTCTTCTTGACTTTTTATCTTCTAACAGGGTTGACCACCATCTCCTAGATCCTCTCTCTTCCCCAGGTTCTTGGGACATGACTCTCTCCTGGTTCTCCTCTGCCTTCTCAGGGTGCTTCAGAGGATGGTCATCCATATTCTGTCCCCCAGTTGTAGCTAAGTCCTGAGGGAGCTCTTTGTTTCTCTCTGTCTCTGTCTCTCTCATCAATCTATGGGTTCAGTTATCTTTATCCAAATAACTCCTGAATCTACATTTCTAACCTTCAGCTCTATTCAGTACTCAAATTCTGCACCTCTGGCTGCCTGTTGGACGTGTCCAAATGGATGACCCAAAGGTATATCCCAAACTGAACTCATTATCTTTTCCTGAGTCTATATACTTCTTTCAAACTTCCTCCTTTCCGTCAAGGGCGGCTTCATCCTTCCAGTCATCAGATCTGTGACCTTAGAGTCATCATCAATACTTCACTCTCCATCATCCCCCACCAAGATAGTTGTTACCTCCACATTTCTACCTTCATAACAAGCCTCAAATCTGTTCCTTTCTCTCCATTTACACAGCCTCCACCTTAGTTCATGCCTTTATCCCCTCTCACCTAGACTAGTTAATTCAATAAGCATTGAATAAAGGTATGACTCATGGGCCAGGTGGTGGGGATACGACAACAAAAACCTCAATGAGTTTACTTTTGATGAGGTGGAGCAGGAGGAGAAGTGAAGAACATATAGACAGCTAAAAAAAAAATACATGATATATACAAAATATACACAAAATTGTTTTGGGGGGAAGGGCACTAGCAACTAGGGGGATCCTGAGAGGCTTCCTGTAAGCCATTCACACTTAATTTGAATTTTGAAAGAAAACTAAGCATTCCACACAGCAGAGGGGAAAATGGATTTTATTCCAAGCGTGGGAGACCTTTGCAAAGGCATGGTGATGAGACATTGAATATATTAGAATACATACAATACAAAGCAGGGACTGCCTTGCCTTTCTATTTGGATCCTCAGCATTTAGTATAGTATTTTGTACATGGTAAGCACTTAATAAATGCTTCATTTATTCATTCACGTAGTGTACATGGAACAGCGTTTTAATAGCCACCTCCCCCAAACTAGTCTCCCTGATTCCAGTCTCTCTCCTCTTAATTCTCCCAACTGCCAAGCTGATATTCCTCTTTTTTGGGGGGGGGGGGTAGGGCGGGGAGTTGGTGGAGGCAATTGGGGTGAAGTGGCTTTCCCAGGGTCACACAGCTAGTTAAGTGTCTGAGGCCACATTTGAATTCAGGTCCTCTTGATTCTGGGGCTGGTGCCCTATCTACTGCACCACCTAGCTGCCCCACATTGATATTCCTAAAGCACAGCTTCGCTTCTATTATTCTCACCTCAAGAAGCTTCAGTGATTCCCTATTGTCCCTAGGATAGGATAAAACTCTATTTGGCATTTAACTACAACTCTTTACAATCTGGCTTCAACCTGCCTTTCCCAGTTGATTTTACATTATTCTCCCCATTCACTCTATATCCCAGACAAACTACTCTGCTTGCTATTACTTCCCTGACTTGGAGCTAGGAGCCTGGTTGGGGAATAATAGGGAAATTTTGAGAAAAGTCTCCAGGGTCCCAGGCTGTTTAACCTGGAGCTGAGCCTGGAGCTAGAGAAACTGGGGAAGGTGCCAGGGCCCGTTGTCCCAGGACTAGAAATCTGCGGCTCTCTCTGTCCCCACGAGGGCATAGAGCCTGGGTGGGACACAGCCCCCGATCCTGGAAAAGAAAGAGCTAAGAGCTACAGCAAAGGGGACCCTAGTAACATTTTCTCACAGTGGAAGTTGTTCGGCAAAGGATGGCTGGCTAAGAGAAGGTGAAGAGAGCAGCGGGGTCCTTACTCTTCCATACTAAACAAGATTATGTATGTAACATGCCTTGCAAACCATCAAGCTACATAAAAGCCAGCTATTATTACTCCTCTGGCCCCCTCTCCCATCTATCTTCAACCATCCCTGTCCTTGAGGAAACAGCATTGCCCAGCAGAGCATGGCTACATGGGCTGCCCCCAGCAGCCACTCCCCCAAAGCCCTGGGCTGGGCTACTGGGAAACACAGGCTTCATTTGCATTGGCAAAGGAAGGTGCTTCCAGCAGGCATGTAAAGAAACCCACACACCTTCACCGAGGAGGGGAAGCTGGCCCCTGCCTCAGGGCTGATTTTCCCACTACCAACGTCTCAAATCTGGGAAAAGGGGGAGGGGGTTGCGGGAACTGGAGCTGAGCTACATCCTGCTTACTGACCAGGGGCCCTGGTGCCCTCTGCATCTAACTGGAGAATGGCAGGAAGGGGCAGGGAACCTACACCACCCCCAGCCTCACGTGTCCGGTCCAGCCCCTTCTTTCAGAGATTGGGGGGCAGCTGGTGGGGGAAGTGATGATATACTCCTTTGATGATATCACATACTTCAGGCACCACCAGTATCCTCCCCGCTTCCCCTCCCTCTACCCACTTCCCCCCAACTCAAAGTCTCAGGGGTCCTTCCAGCTATGACATGATCCACCTAAAGACTTATCGGGAAGTTGGGTTGGGTCAGGGGTTGGAGAAGGGAGCCAGATTCCCGTGGCTCCTTTAAGGAAGGAAAGCCCCAAACTCCCCCTACCCTAACCCCTACCCCAGTGGACCAACAGCACTGTTAATCATTAAGTTTTAAGAGCCACCGAGGCCCTCCTGGAAAAAAGGTGGGGAGGTAAGGGCTGGGATAACAGAGACGCGGAAATGGGGACTTAGCAAGAGGAGGGACAAACTGAGAGTGGACAAGAAGTTAATGATCGCATGCGTTCACTGACACTTCGTCTACTGCGTCTCCTGCAGTGTGTAGCCTGGGACAAAAGTCAGTTCTCTCTAGGCCTCAGTTTTCTCATCTGTGCAATATAGGAATTAGGGAATCTCTTAAAGGTTTTTTCCTGTTCTGACACTTTGTGTCCCATGTTCTAAGGGCCTTCCTGCTCTGTGTTCTAAGTTCTGTGCCAGCTCTAGC